GCTACACAGAGTAAAAGGTAGATGGGATACAAGGAGAATAGAAGTATCAGGGAAGAGAGAGGTGAAGGTTTATTAACTAAAAGAGGAGGCAGTTAGGGTAAGATATAAACAGTTATTGGAGGATAGATGGGCTAATGAGAGCATAGGCAATGGGGTCGAAGAGGTATGGGGTAGGTTTAAAAATGTAGTGTTAGAATGTTCAGCAGAAGTTTGTGGTTACAGGAAAGTGGGTGCAGGAGGGAAGAGGAGCGATTGGTGGAATGATGATGTAAAGAGAGTAGTAAGGGAGAAAAAGTTAGCATACGAAAAGTTTTTACAAAGTAGAAGTGATGCATGGAGGGAAGAGTATATGGAGAAAAAGAGAGAGGTTAAAAGAGTGGTGAAGCAATGTAAAAAGAGAGCAAATGAGAGAGTGGGTGAGATGTTATCAACAAATTTTCTTGAAAATAAGAAAGTTTTGGAGTGAGATTAACAAGTTAAGGAAGCCTAGAGAACAAATGGATTTGTCAGTTAAAAATAGGAGAGGAGAGTTATTAAATGGAGAGTTAGAGGTATTGGGAAGATGGAGGGAATATTTTGAGGAATTGTTAAATGTTGATGAAGATAGGGTAGCTGTGATTTCGTGTATAGGGCAAGGAGGAATAACATCTTGTAGGAGTGAGGAAGAGCCAGTTGTGAGTGTGGGGGAAGTTCGTGAGGCAGTAGGTAAAACGAAAGGGGGTAAGGCAGCCGGGATTGATGGGATAAAGATAGAAATGTTAAAAGCAGGTGGGGATATAGTTTTGGAGTGGTTGGTGCAATTATTTAATAAATGTATGGAAGAGCAATGTGGCAGATGCTGCAAGTATATGGAATAGGTGGTAAGTTATTAAATGCTGTAAAGAGTTTTTATGAGGATAGTGAGGCTCAGGTTAGGGTGTGTAGAAGAGAGGGAGACTACTTCCCGGTAAAAGTAGGTCTTAGACAGGGATGTGTAATGTCATCATGGTTGTTTAATATATTTATAGATGGGGTTGTAAAGGAAGTAAATGCTAGGGTGTTCGGGAGAGGGATGGGATTAAATTTTGGGGAATCAAATTCAAAATGGGAATTGACACAGTTACTTTTTGCTGATGATACTGTGCTTATGGGAGATTCTAAAGAAAAATTGCAAAGGTTAGTGGATGAGTTTGGGAATGTGTGTAAAGGTAGAAAGTTGAAAGTGAACATAGAAAAGAGTAAGGTGATGAGGGTGTCAAATGATTTAGATAAAGAAAAATTGGATATCAAATTGGGGAGGAGGAGTATGGAAGAAGTGAATGTTTTCAGATACTTGGGAGTTGACGTGTCGGCGGATGGATTTATGAAGGATGAGCTTAATCATAGAATTGATGAGGGAAAAAAGGTGAGTGGTGCGTTGAGGTATATGTGGAGTCAAAAAACGTTATCTATGGAGGCAAAGAAGGGAATGTATGAAAGTATAGTAGTACCAACACTCTTATATGAGTGTGAAGCTTGGGTGGTAAATGCAGCAGCGAGGAGACGGTTGGAGGCAGTGGAGATGTCCTGTTTAAGGGCAATGTGTGGTGTAAATATTATGCAGAAAATTCGGAGTGTGGAAATTAGGAAAAGGTGTGGAGTTAATAAATGTATTAGTCAGAGGGCAGAAGAGGGGTTGTTGAGGTGGTTTGGTCATTTGGAGAGAATGGATCAAAGTAGAATGACATGGAAAGCATATAAATCTATAAGGGAAGGAAGGCGGGGTAGGGGTCGTCCTCGAAAGGGTTGGAGAGAGGGGGTAAAGGAGGTTTTGTGGGCAAGGGGCTTGGACTTCCAGCAAGCGTGCGTGAGTGTGTTAGATAGGAGTGAATGGAGACAAATGGTACTTGGGACCTGACGATCTGTTGGAGTGTGAGCAGGGTAATATTTAGTGAAGGGATTCAGGGAAACCGGTTATTTTCATATAGTCGGACTTGAGTCCTGGAAATGGGAAGTACAATGCCTGCACTTTAAAGGAGGGGTTTGGGATATTGGCAGTTTGGAGGGATATGTTGTGTATCTTTATATGTGTATGCTTCTAAACTGTTGTATCCTGAGCACGTCTGCAAAAACAGTGATAATGTGCGAGTGTGGTGAAAGTGTTGAATGATGATGAAAGTATTTTCTTTTTGGGGATTTTCTTTCTTTTTTGGGTCACCCTGCCTCGGTGGGAGACGGCCGACTTGTTGAAAAAAAAAAAAAAAAAAATTACCATTTAACCTAAATGCTGAATGATCATGTCAACCCAGATCTAAATCTACATAATCTAACTCCCAATCAAAATTTAATGGAAAATAACTGTCACTATTACACAGCATCACATGCCAGCACTGTCCTAAGTAATACCAGAAATATTAGTTCTCAATTACAATACAGCCTCTCCTCACTTAGCGACGTACTCGTTTACTGACGAATCGGACTTGCAACGGGCTCTCTGATCAGTATGCATACCAAAATAATGTACATATATTAGAGCTGATTTCCTCTACTCTGTTATTACAATATACAGTACACTACTGTATAAACATTTAAAAATATACCAGAAATGTTATAAATGGTATAAAGGTAACATTAAAACAATCTCAAAGATGACTGATACAAAACCACTACCATTATAGTATGCTCCTCGCATAGCGATGAATTCGTTTACCGATGAGGTCTTAGGAACGGAACTCCATCATTAAGTGAGGAGAGGCTGTATTAGGTTCCTAAGCAAACACTATGATGCCCTCCTGGCACTCCATGATTCCCCCCCCCCACCACCACTGGAGTTTACCGGGAGAGAGTTCCAGGGGTCAACGTCCCCGCGACCCGGTCTGTGACCAGACCTCCTGGTGGATCAGAGCCTGATCATCCAGGCTGTTACTGCTGGCTGCACACAATCCAACGTACGAGCCACAGCCCGGCTGGTCAGATTCCGACTTTAGGTGCTTGTCCAGTGCCTGCTTGAAGACAGCCAGGGGTCTTTGGTAATCCCCCTTGTGTGTGCTGGAAGGCAGTTGAACAATCTTGGGCCCCTGACACTTATTGTATTGTCTCTTAACGTGCTAGTGACATCCCTGCTTTTCACTGGGGGGATGTTGCATCGTCTGCCGAGTCTTTTGCTTTCGTTGTGAGTGATTTTCGTGTGCAAGTTCGGTACTACCAGGATACACAGCAATCCACAACTGCAGACCATACCAAGTTGGGGGTGGTATTGCCGTCTATTACTCTAATGAACTATCATATTGTAACACCACTTGCTAGTGATGAATATGGAGAATATATTTTTACAAATTTTACTGTAAAAAACCTTAAGACTCCTATAACAATCAGTGCCATTTACCAGATGCCACATACTTATTTATCATCTTTTTCATAAGATATGTATTACTTATTACCAACCCTCTTTCTACACATAGTTCAATTAAAGGCTCCCCATTTTCATTTACCCCTGGAACCCCAAATTTACCTACTACTCCCACCACAAAATTTTTACCCACTTTAGCACTGAGATCCCCAACCACAAGTACTCTCACTTGGTTCAAAACTCCCAAGGCTCAACATTTCCCAAAATCTCTCTCTCTTTCTCTCTCTCTACACTTCTCTCTTCTCCAGGTGCATAAACACTTACTATAACCCACTTTTCACAACCAACCTTTATTTAACTCAACATAATCCTTGAATTTATACATTTATATCCCTTCTTTTCCTGCCATAATTTACCCTTCAACATTATTGCTACTCCTTCCTTAGCTCTAACACTTATTATAAACCTCTGACCTAATCCCAGTTATATCTCCCCATTGAAACTCTCCTACCCCCTTCAGCTTTGTTTCACTTAGAGCCAGGACATCCAGCTTCTTTTCATTCATAACATCCACAATCATCTCTTTTTTGCCATTTACACTTTATCAATGCATATTCAAACATCCCACTTTGACAATTTTCTTATTTTTAGTAAGGTGTACGGGAAAAGGGGTTACTTGCCCAGTGCTTTCGGCATTTTAGTTGACTTTTACTACATGCATGGTTTACCTTGCACCAAAACTGCAAAACAAAAAAAAAAGTTCACTAGAAGCACAACAAAAGCTCAAGAGGTGTTTACAGCACACAAGTTAGTGAGCAAGTGACCTAAGCTGTTCGCATTGTTGGTCGACAACCAAGAGAAAATACAAAAACCAGGACATTTTTTTCTCAAATTCCTCATTTGAAAACTGATTTGTTTGACAAGTAATGCAGTTGACAACCAAGGTTCCACTGTATTCACATTCTCAATGTCACAAATATATGGAAAGCAATATAATCTTATTCTAAATATCTGTAATCCTCACAACCATTAACCCGTAAACAGTCCAAGCAGATCTACGTTCACATGTGTAGTGCTACAAAAGTAGATCTAAGTTTTTTTACATATTTTCAAATATAACAAAAAAAAAAGTAGATCAAAGTTTTTTACACATTTTCAAATGTAGAAAAACAAAAAGAAGATCTACTTGTTTTACATACTTTCAAATGTTGAAAAAGCGTATATATACGTTTGGACCGTTTACGGGTTAAAATATGGAATGTATTCGTTACCTATAATCATAATCAAACCTGTATTTCTTTAAACAATGAGACTTGATAAAAGCCATACAGAATGTACTAATAGGATATTCAATTCTCTTGTATTCATTGTAACTCTTAAATTTATATTTACAACCACTGACATATTAATCTTAAGTTAATCTTAAGTTTGCCCAAAATACTCTGTATATTAAGGGGCTTTCTGCATGCACACCTAAATGTCGTTCACCTCTGTACAAACACTATCATGTTGAAATAAAGTATCTTACTTTACCTATGGTAAAGCATTACCCAAACATCAAGTAATACAAAATGAAGATAAATATAAACAATGAATATATAAATATATAGATGTAACTTAAACGGTAAATATCTAGCAGATCAAACTTCCTGGTAATAATCATTCCAAAAGTACATGTGAAGTAATTACATACCTATGAACAATATTATTAATAATTGCAATAAGCTTCAGTGTTTGTATGGAAAATGCTCTTAGTGCCCGGTCCTCAATGCTGAGAGGTTTGTGGAGGTAGAGGCACGTCAGTATTGTCTGTGCTGCTGAGTGACCCTCCAGCCAGGTCACCAAGCAGGCCAGCATCGAATCCATTATGCCCACTAATTCTTCCATTGTTAAGTTATTTAGTTTTAAAGCTCCAGCCTGTTGGTGAAACATGCAATGAATTATTAAATATATTTATAAGATGGCAGTGCTACCATACTATATAAGATGAAGAAAATCTTCAAGGTGATTTTGGAAATGAGTTTTGGGGAAACTATATTTAACCCTTTAACTGTTGAGGTCGTATATATACGTCTTACGAGGTACCGTGTTTGACGTATATATACTCATAAATTCTAGCGGCTTCAAATCAAGCAGGAGAAAGCTGGTAGGCCCACATGTGAGAGAATGGGTCTGTGTGGTCAGTGTGCACCATATAAAAAAAATCCTGGAGCATGCAGTGCATAATGAGAAAAAAAAAGCTCCGACCGTTTTTTTAATTAAAATGCCGACTTTGTGGTCTATTTTTGTATAGTATTTATGATTGTATTCTCGTTTTCTTGGTCTCATTTGATAGAATGGAAAACATATTATAGAAATAGAGGTGATTTTGATTGATTTTACTATAAAAAGAACCTGGAAATGGACCTCAAAGTAGGGGAAATGTTTGATTTTTGCCGATGTTCAAAAGTAAACAAATGATGTCATTGTCCAATAAATGCCCAACTAGCCATTCTAATATGCAGTCATGAATGGGTTGATGTTATTTACACAATTATTACAGTATTGCAGTAGTCTGCATAATAGTAAATCTTCTATTTTTTGTTTGAATAAAAATTCAAAATAGAAAGCAAGAGTAATATCAGAGGGGCCTGGAGACATGACTGATGAACAAAGAAAATGTTATTTTAGAGTCAGGAATGTCTGCATTGTTCATTCTGGACCTTATTTTGAAATTGTCATATTTTTTAATTTTCGTGAAATTGGCCAAATTGCAAAAATCTGACCATGTTATTGGGTAGTTGAAATTGGTAAACGGGCAGTTTCTTGTACTCAATCGATAGAAAAAATGGAGTTCTAAAGAAATAGCTATGAGTTTCATCAACTGGAACAATGGAATTAGCCGAAAATAGGGCTCAAAGTAGGCAAAATTGCCGATTTGTAAATATTGCAGAGGTCGCTAACTTCGCGAGAGCGTAATTCCGTCAGTTTTCCTTCAAATTTCGTTTTTTTTGGTGTCATTACAATCGGGAAAAGATTCTCTATCATTTCATAAGATAAAATAATTTTTTTTTTTTTTTGAAATTTTGCGACAACAGGAGACACCTCAGGATTGGGGGTTGCGACAGTCAAGGGGTTAAAGAAACTGAAGAACTTACGGGAAAAATAGGGTTACATTCCTGGGACCTGACAAAAAAGACCAATTTTTTTTTAGGTCTAGAAATATTACAAAAATAAAAATAATAATGTAATTGTTGTTCACTGTCATTATGTATTATGTTTTTTCTATTGTTTAAGGTTACAAATACAACAGAAATAATATTTCTTACATTAAATTGTGGTTACTGGTGGTGATGATTGTGAAGGGAGTAGAGAGGCATGTTGTCACTCTACTGGGCTGAAGTGGATGGTAGTGAGGTCAGTCTGTTAAGTCAATCAGCCATGTCAATAAGTCAAGTCAATCAGTGAATCAGTCCAGTCAGTTGGTAAGTCAAGTGAGCACAGTCACTCAAGTTAATACAAATCAGTATGTCAGTCAAGTCAATAAGTCAAGTCAGTCAGTAAGTCAGTCAAGTCAGTTAGCCCAGTCAGTGGGTAAGTCAGCGAAGTCAGAAGATCAGTCGGTAAATCAAATCAGTCAGTAAGTCAAGTGAGTAAGTCGGTCAAGTCAATAAGTCAAGTTAATCAGTGAGTCAGTCCAGTCAGTTGGCAAGTCAAGTCAGTACAGTCAAGTCAGTATAAAAGTAAGTCAAGTCAGTCAGTCAGTCAGTCAGTCAAATCAGTAGGTCAGTCAGTCCAGTCAAGTCAGTATGTCCTATGAGAAGTGGATAAGAGAACTCAGCCTGACAACACTGGAGGACAGGAGGGTATGGAGGATGTGATAACAATGCACAAAATACTCAAAAGAATTGACAAGGAACATAATGTTTCAGAGATGGAACACAGGAACAAGAGGGCACAGCTGGAAGTTGAAAACTCAAATGAGTAATGAGGATGTTAGGAAGTATTTCTTCTTCAACCTTAGAGTTGTCAGAAAGTGGAACAATCTGGAGAGTGAAGTGGTAGAGGTAGGATCCATACATAGCTTTATGAGGTATGACAAGCCTCTTGTAACTGGGAGAGAGTGGACCTAGTAGTGACCAGTGAAGAGGCAGGGGCAGGAGCTGTGAATCAACCCCTACAATCACATATAGGTAAGTAGGTGAGTACCTCCATGCTTACATCACAAGTGAAACACCTCCACACTTACAGTTAGAGTTGGGATATCAGAATTTTTGCCAATGTGGATACAACCAAAATTAACCAATACTCTACCACCAACATAGATACTTTGGTATACTTCTACTTACAACTACCATCATTCTGTAGTATGAACATGGAGGAAACAACCATTCTTAGTAGTATTATGCCTGATAACTCATTTGTGAGTTAAAACACCAAAGTACAACTCATTTTTTACTTAGGGACCTCTGGTACACATGTGGTTTAACTGCAGTTGATCCTGGGGGTCACTGCCCCCCTTGCAACCCAGCAGTATTAAAACCTGAGTAAACAAAGTCTTCTGATGCAACAAAGTGTAATGAACACAGAGCAATGATAGGAAATTGTGCTGTAAAAATAAATGAGGAAGAACGGTAGTCTGAACATTTTGACCTCCAGTTGAGATCCCCTTCAGTATTCTGCTGAAGAATACCTCAACCCTGTTTTTGTCTCCTGTGAGATTTCCACTCTCAAAGTTCTCCAAGTTCAATGTGATAATAGATAAGTTACACATATAAAACTTGTTATGGTGCATTAAACAGTTTAAATATTTTATAATACTAACCTTTACAGCCTGGTCAAAATTTTGAACTTTTTTGCCCCTATTACACATCATTCCAGCATCCATTTTGGGATCCATCATTTCTATAGCAGACATTGCTTCAAAAAGACCGAAAATGTCATCATGCAGCAGCTCACCCAACTGTAAGTCTAAAACAAAATAAAAATATTAATTATTTAAACTTCTCTTCTCCTGCAACACCAACAATCTATTAAGAATATTAACTGTTTACAGTTCTATTCTCCTGCAACACCTGCGATCTATTAAGAAGATTAATTGTTTACACTGCTCTGCTCCTGCAACACCAATGATCTATTAAGAAGATTGTTTACACTGCTCTGCTCCTGCAACATCAATGATCTATTAAGATTATTATTTACATTGCTCTGCTCCTGCAACACCAATGATCTATTAAGAAAGTTATTTACACTGATTTGCTGCTGCAACATCAATGAACTATTGTTTATGTCTTGCTGCAACACCAATGAGCAGATGAGAATATTGCTTACACTGCTCTTCTGCAATACCAAAAATCTAATGATAAGACTGTTGACACTACTCTTCTCCTGCAATACCAATAATCTATTTCACTTTTTTTGTTGACACAAACACACAGCTTAATTTACAGTTTAGGAAATTGTTAACCCCTAAGGGTCAGTGCCGTAGTTCTATGACTCTGAACTTTGGGTCAGTGCCGTAGTTCTACAGCTTTGAAATCTGGGTCAGTGCCGTAATTCTACATCATAAGCTCAGCTCATTCACATGAGCTGCGAATGGTAAATATGTGGAGAATGTGCACCAAATAAAAAAAAAAAAGGTCCTGCCTCACACAGTGCACGATGAAAAAAAACATGACCGGGTTTTTGGTTTAACCCATAAACAGTCCAAACGTATATATACGCTTTTTCAACATTTGAAAGTATGTAAAAAAAGTAGATCTTCTTTTTGTTTTTTTACATTTGAAAATGTGTAAAAAAACTTTGATCTACTTTTTTCTTGTTATATTTGAAAATATGTAAAAAAAACATAGATCTACTTTTGTAGCACTACACATGTGAACGTAGATCTGCTTGGACCGTTTACGGGTTAAAATAACGACTTTGCAGCATATTTTCGGATGGCTTTTATGGTTTTATTCTAGGTGTTCTGATATCATTTGATAGAGCTGAAGATATATTACAGAAACAGAGATGATTTAAATTGGTTTTAGGAGAGGAAGTAGCTTCAAACTGAACTCAAAGTAGCAGAAATATTAGATTTTTGCCTATATTCTTGAGTCCACAAATCATGTCATTCGTCTAATACATGTCCAAGGTCAATCTAGTATGTGTTCACAAATCCTCTGACATTATTTATATGATTATTACAATAATGCATAACAGTAAATCTTCTATTTTTTAGTGTGAATAAAAATTCAAAATGGAATTCATGTGTTATATTGGAGAAACCTGGGGATGTAACTAATGATCTGAGGAAATGTTAGTTTAGTGCCAAGAATGTCTGCCTTGTTTATTCTGGACCCTATTTTGAAATTGGCATTTCTGAATTTTGTGATATTGGCCAAATTACCAATTTCTTGTCACTTTGTAGGGTACTTGGAATAGGTGAATAGGCAGTTTCTTGTGTTCAGTCGATAAAGTGGAAGGCATACTATCAAAACAGCTAAGAATTTGGTCTACTGGAACAATGTAATTGCCCTAAAATAGAAGTCAAAGTGGGCAAAATCGCCGATGCATAAATATTGCTGACACGAAAAATTCATGATAGCGTATTTCATGTTTTAAATCAAATTTCATACTTTTTTGTTTTATTACCTTCAGAAAAAGATTCTCTACCATTTCATAAGAAAAAAATAAAAAATTTTTTTTTTAATTCTTGGACCCTGTGGACAAGTTTCAGATCACGGTCTGAACCCTGAAAGGGTTAATTAATTACCTCAGGTTACATCAAACCCCAGCTCAGTCTAAGGCTCTGGTGGCCTGGTGGTTAACGCTCTCGCTTCACACGGTGAGGGCCTGGGTTCGATTCCCAGCCAGAGTAGAAACATTGGACGTGTTTCTTTCCACCTGTTGTCTATGTTCCCCATCAGTAAAATGGGTACCTGGGTGTTAGTCGACTGGTGTGGGTCGCATCCTGGGACACTGACCTAAGGAGGCCTGGTCACAGACCGGGCCGCGGGGGCGTTGACCCCCGGAACTCTCTCCAGATAAACTCCAGATAATACCAACTATCAGAATGCTACCCATAACAATCAGCTATCACTCAAATACCAATTTTCTGCTGGGTGAATAGGGACAGCAGATGTAAGGAGACTTGCCCATGCATCTAACCTAGCCTGGGATTTGAACCCAGGTCTTTTGGCTGAGAGACAAGAACTCTATACCTCCAACACATTCCTCATGATCAGTCTCAGAGAGTTCCCAAAGTGTGTCCCTAAGAGGGAGGCCTCTAGAGTCCTGAAACTGTACTCTTGAGTGCACAGAATGAGAGGCTCCCAGCACCCAGAAGTAAAATGACCAAGAATAACGACAAGAGTGCAAATCCTTATTAGCAGATTCCACATCTGTATGATACAAATTAAATTATCATCATCATAGAGTAAACCCTACTATAAAGCAACACCATGCAGCTCATTCTATGTAAACGCAAATGAAAAGTGCATCCCACGTTGTTCAGTACGAAATAACTTTGATAATGCTCACTGTAAAACTATAAAAAATAAATGAAGTAATGAACAAAATTTAGGTAGTATCTTAGAAGATTTTAACAATGTGTTTACCAGCTCCCACTGTTCACAATAAGAGAGAACAAGCTATGTCTACTAAAAAGCACTTTTCTTACATATTAATGAATGTTACACTTAAATACTGTATTTCTTTATACATCTATGTATCATGTCCAAATTAATAATAATAAATAAATAAATAAATGAATGATTAATTTAAATAAAACACCTGCATAAAAAGATTGAGAATATTTAGCCCATTAATATTAACCCTTTCAGTGGCTGTCACACACAACTACGTCACTGAGACTGAGGTCCTTCACTTACTTCCACGTCAAGAGTTCAGCTCACTCATATAAGCTGTGAGCAGTAAATTTTGGCACAGACATGAGAGAATGGGTCTTTGTGGTGAGTGTGCACAGTATAAAGAAAAATCCTGCCACACACAGTGCAAGATGGAAAGAACAAAACTCTGACTGTGTGTATGGTGTAAAACAGTAACACTGAGGTGTATTCCTGGATGGTTTTTATAATTTTTATTAGCCATTTCTTGGCATCATTTGATGGACTGAAAGACAACTGAAATAAAGATGATTTTGATTGATATCAGAACTGGAAATACAGCAGAACCTCGGGTTACGAATGTAATCTATTCTATGGATTTGTTCGTATCCTGATTTGTTCGTATGCTGGGTCAATTTTCCTTATTTAAATTAACTGAAATGCAATTAATTCGTTCCAGCTGAATTCCGGCTCACAGGAGGCATTTATTTATTTATTTATTTATTTATTTATTAATTTGAACATGATACAGAGAAGTACAAGGAATACAATTTTTAAAGTGCAGCATGCCAAAGCCCCTTGTATGCAGAGCATTATGGGCAGGCTTAAAATTAACTTAAGATTAACTAAGCAATGATATATTCAGTGGTACAAAAATTATTGTAAAACAGATAACAATTTTACAAATGAGTATTACAAAGACAGGTCATATGGTCATTTACCGTGTTGCTGGGGTGGTAGTGATGGTGGTAGAGGGTGGTAGTGATGGTGGTAGAGGGTGTTAGTGGTTGTGACAGTGGTAGAGGGTGATAGTGATGGTGGTAGAGGGGGTAGTGATTCAATTCAATTCAATTCAATTCAAAGTTTATTCTCTATAAGGATTACAATGCTGAGTTTACAGAAATTTGGTCATTGTTTGGTTTACATGTAGTAAAATTGTGATTACAGAGTGTACCACTAGAACGCTTAGCATGGCTAGGCATTTCGGGCATACTTAGTTTTATTCTTAATTGTAAAATATTACAAATTATGAGGTAAGTTGGTATTATGGCTAAGTGACTAAATACTAGTTTGTGAGTTTAGCAATGTGAATGCTTTTGTTTTTGCACAGTACATAGTTTCAGTATTGGAGTATCACAGGATTCATTATTTTAAGACTGAGATTAATATTTCGTTTATGGTCAAATGAGTGAGTGAGTGTAAGTGTGAACCACCAGGTGGTATTCGTATAGTTAGTTTGACGGGGTGTATCAGGAGATAAGATGTTTTCTAATAGTAGTTTTGAAGGTGATGAATGTGTCTGCAGTTCTAGAGTTCTCAGGTAGGGTATTCCAGATTTTAGGGCCTTTGACATACATTGAATTTTTGTAAAGGTTTAGTTGGACACGGGGAATGTCGTAGAGATGTTTATGTCTGGTGTTATGCCTGGGGTTCTGTCACAACTATCAAGAAAGCGTTTTAGGTCAAGGTTGATATTAGAGTTTAAGGCCCTGTAGATGTAGATTGCACAGTAGTAAGTGTGGATGTACTGAACTGGGAGTAAGTTTAGATCTATGAAGAGTGGGGGGGTGTGTTGCCAGGGATGGGATTTAGTGATTATTCTTACTGCAGCTTTTTGTTGGGTTATTATTGGCTTTAGGTGTGTTGCTGCAGTTGAACCCCAAGCACAAATAGCATAGGTGAAGTATGGAACAAATAAGTGAGTGGTATAGTGTGAGAAGGGCATTTTGCGGCACGTAGTATCGTATCTTGGAGAGGATCCCAACCGTTTTGGATACTTTTTTGGCTATATGCTGGATATGGGTGCTGAAATTCAGGTTGTTGTCAAGGTATAAGCCTAGGAATTTTCCCCCATTATTTCTGGTAATTAGAGTGTTGTCAATCTTAATGTTAATTTGTGCATCTCCTGCTCTGCTACCAAACATAATATAGTAGGTTTTGTCAGTGTTAAGCTTAAGTTTATTGGCTGTCATCCAAGTCGATATTTTAATCAGCTCCTCATTCACAATGGTGTTGAGGGTGGCAAGATTAGGGTGAGAGATGACATAAGTCGTGTCATCAGCAAAGAGAATGGGTTCAGGTGTTGGGATACGTTTGGAAGGTCATTGATGTATATGAGGAAGAGCAGGGGACCAAGGACAC